TAGGTTTTATGTTTTCTCTTAAAATGCACATCAGAATAGATGTTTGTAGGAGGCCTACATCAGTCGTTCCTGTTTGAGCAGCCTACCCTTATTTGCATTAAATACCAGTTGTTTCTTCCCGTTGTTCACTTCAAATAACTTGTAACCTAGTTAAGTGGCAAAAAAGTAGCATGCCTTATCTTTGGGTAATTAGGAGAGAGAAAACAGAACATGGTCATTTACATCTTAAGTGTATGATTTGTTATGAAAGCTAGCCACCTCTTTCCCTTTTAGGTTCACAGTCATGTGGGAGGTGAATTCTGAATTCGTAGACACACAATAAGCAGTATCTAACTGTAACTTACACCTTCTGTTCCTAGGAATTAAGGAACTTAAAAATTTAAAACCACACATTGAAACAATGTATTTATTTACTATGGCTACTGTAACAAAGTACCATAAACTGAGAGGCTTAAACAATGGAAATCTGTTGTCTCCCAGTTCTAGAGGCCATAGAAGTCCAAGATCAAGGCCATGCTCCCTCTGAAGGTACTAGGGAAGGATCTGTTTCTGGTTTCTTTCCCAGCTTCTGCTAGTTCCTTGTGGCAGCATGACTCCGATCTTCACATGGCAGTCTCTCTGTGTGTGTGTCTGTCTCTGTGTCCAAATGTCCAGATTTTATAATGACACCATTCATACTGGATTGGGGCTCATCCTCATGACCTCACCTTAACTAATTACATCTGCAACGACCTTGTTTCGAGATAAGGTCACATTCTGAGGTACTGGAGGGTTAGGACTTCAACATATGAATTTGGGGTGACATTCGTAGCAGGCAGCATGATGTGGGGAACAGAGCTAACGCCCAGGAGTTGGAGACCAGCCAGCCGTGGTGCACCCCAAGTATTTGACATGCAATGCAGATGACTTTTTAAAACCTCCCTCTCTATAGGACAGAATTATTTTCAGTTAGCAATCAGGAAATGAAATGAATAAGAATAATTTTCATTTCTGGAAAAGAAACCCAGGCAGTGATGTTTTCTTTTATTCAACTAGAATTCATTTTGAATTTTTGGAGATAAGTCAGAACTCACTGTATGTTTCACTGTTCTAAATTTTGAATGCAAATATAAACTCCAAGTGGCTACAGAGGGTGTTGGAATTGAAGGAAGCATTCTGTTTTGTGATTGGTTGTTTTAAATTTCATGTCACTCTTCTGTCTCTTGTCTTTATAATTGCTCATTTCAAGTCTGCTGCAGAAGCTCAGGCATATGTAATACCAGAGGCTGGAAGACACTTACTGCTGGAAGCCAGCCTCAAAGCTGCTGTTGCAACAACACATGCACCTGAACTTCGGTGTGACAGGTGGGCCGTATAACCAGGAGTTCTCAGAATTAGCTTCCATAGAATCCCACATTTATTGTAGCTAAGTAGTATTTTTTTTTTTTAGTTTACCTATATATTATTGAAATTGAGCAGGAACTACAACAAAAAGATTTTTGAGAGGAGGAGTGTTTTATCACTGACATCCATTCATGGCAATAATAATGTAAGAAAAACTATGACTTTTTAGTTGGTTTTGCTACTGTTTTTGAATCTTCTGCAGGGAATGCACTTCCTCATTACCTGCAAGCTGGGCTAACCAAACTCCCTACTCCTTGTAGGTCCCTGCAGTGGCAGCCTGACCCTGACTAGCTGTGGGAACTTGGATGAGTCACATTAAACGATTCTGCACCCAATTCTAATGTGTGTGTGCTTTTCCCACACCACTAAGGAATTCTCTAACACCAGCTGGCTGTCCTACAATTCGACATAATTCTGACACTATCCATCGTACCTGAAGATAACCTCAGACCCCACAGGTTAAGGGCTCAGTCCTACAAGACTGCTCTCCCCCCAACTTCAGACACCGGTGGCAGGTTGTCACCTGTGCTTCAGACCTACCAGCTATAGATGGGAGGTTCCAATGACCCCCTTTTGGGGTTCAATTAATTTGCTAAAGCAGCTCACAGAACTGAAATATTTTGCTTGTTCTAGATCACTGGTTTATCATAAAAGACTATAACTCAGGAATAGGCAGATGGAAGAGGTGCATTGTACAAGGTATGGGGAAAGGTTCACCCTCTTCCCAAATCTCTGCCTGTTCGCCAACCCAGAAGCTCTTCAGACCTCTCCTTTAGGGCTTTAATGGGACTTCATTACATCGCTGTGATGGGTTAAATCATTGCTATTGGTGATTGATTCAACCTGTAGCCCATTTCCCAATCCCTAGGTGCTTTCCTAAAGTCACCTCATTAAATAGCAGAAGACACTTTTGTAACTCTCACCACTTAGGAGATTCCAAGTTTTTAGGAGATCTGTCCCAGGAACAGGACAAACACCAAATACGTATTTCTTACTGTAAATCATGATATCACACACATCTCTCATTCTTAGTTCCTGGGCGAATGGGCCAAGGCAGTGGTCATTTTATCTTTTTTTGTTTGTTTGTTTTTGAAAGCCATAGTTCTTCAAATAAAAATTCTACAGTACACCATAGATTTAAAAGAGATGGCTGGCTTCCCTGGCGGTGCAGTGGTTGAGAATCCACCTGCCAGTGCAGGGGACACGGGTTCGAGCCCTGGTCCAGGAAGACCCCATGTGCCGCGGAGCAGCTAAGCCCTTGCACCACAACTACTGAGCCTGTGCACCACAACTACTGAAGCTCGCACCCCTAGAACCTGTGCTCCACAGCAAGAGAAGCCACTGCAGTGAGAAGCCCGTGCACCGCAACAAAGAGTAGCCCTGCTTGCTGCAACGAGAGAAAGCCCGCGTGCAGCAACAAAGACTCAGTGCAGCCAAAAATAAAATAAATAAATTTATTTAAAAAAAAAAAGAGACGGCTGAACTACTGAGCCCCTCTGCCCCAGGGGCTCTTCTAAGGACACTGCCAAGGGGCACCTTTGGGACACCACATGACCTGTCAGCGTAGGGGGCTGGATGGGGTAGAGGGCAGGAGCCAGGCAGCTCCAAGGACCTTCTTCCTCCCAGGTAAACAGAGGGCAAAAGGCATTTCATATAAAGTCAGAGACCCGGATTCTAGGTGACAGTGAGGAATTCTCTTGTAAGGGTGAACCCACGCTTACCAGTAGTGACCTCCATTTTATGCCCCTCCCCCTTGCTCAGTTTCCTCAGAGGTCAGACCTTGAGTGGAGACATCCGAGGATGTCGAGGGCATCCTGGCTGGGCACACGCCCATACTAGCTCCAACACAAAGCTAACCGTGTGTCTCTTAGTTATACATCTCCTCAGCTATAAATTGGATTAATTATCTCTTCTCCAACTTACCCCATGGTGATGCTCTTAGGTACAATTAAGGCACTGAGTGTTGTGACTAAGCATAGACTTTCAATAAGGAATTTTATCCCATGTACCTCCTATATGCCCTTGGGCAGAGAACTTAACCTCTCAACGTCAGTTTCCTCATCTGTAAAATGGGGATAACAGTTTGACCCTCAGCAAATGAAATAAAATAGTACATGCCAAGCTCTCAGCTCAGTGACTGATACACAGAATGTGAAGTCAGCTACCTTTAAACACTTACCACCATCATCCCAGGAAAACACTGGAAGCTTTGGAAGCTCTGTAAGTATTCTCGTAAATCCTTAAACCTATCAGATCTGTAGAAACTTAGACACTTCTGTTAACTGACCTGTCCAAAAATCTGAAAGCCAGAACAGATAGAATCGCTGGCCATCTGTAGGAAACTCTGGAGATCGTTCAAACCAAACGTGTTTCCAAGGGACATATAAAATATTAACCATGTGTTTGCAGTATGATCTTGGTGCAAAACTTTGGGTGTGAATTCAGCTGTCTGGGAAGAGTTTGTAATCTAAGTTGTGTCCTCCAAGCTGACTTTAACTACAGCAGGGGAGACAGTAATGAAGTATCAGCTGTGCCCTTCATCCCTTCAATTTCTGGGACCCAGAATTTGTGAAGATGTTAATGTTCAAATGGACCGAGAAGTAAGACTGTGACCAGGCATAGACATTCATGAAACCATGACAGTGTCTTTTTTTTTTTGGCTGCTTTGGGTATTTGTTGCTGCACTTGGGCTTTCTCTAGTTGTGGCGAGCAGGGACTACGCTTCGTTGCGATGCGCGGGCTTCTCATTGCGGTGGCTTCTCTTGTTGCAGAGCACGGGCTCTAGGCACGTGGGCTTCAGTACTTGTGGCTCGTGGGGTCTAGAGCGCAGCCTCGATAGTTGCGGCGCACGGGCTTAGCTGCTCCGCAGCATGTGGGATCTTCCTGGACCAGGGGTCGAACCCGTGTCCCTTGCATTGGCAGGCGGATTCTTAACCACTCTGCCACCAGGGAAGTCCCCATGACAGTGTCTTGAAAAGATACCAAGTAGGTGCCCTGATCATCCTTGATGTATCAATCATACGTACTGTCTATTTAAACCTTGAAACATATTTACAGATGAATATTTGGAAAATATAAAACATCTTTACATATAAAAAGGTACCACAAGGGAGTTTGTATTTTCAGTTGAGGCCACAGACCTTTCGGATGTCTATTATGATGGGATGAGGAACAACTAACATTTTAAATCATTTTGTCACTGGACCTCTGTCCAGGGCTCTTGAGATCTGTTGTTTTTATTGCGTGAAGCCCGGAAGTTTAGTGAAGGTCGATAGGTTGGGGTCTCCATTGGCACAGAGGGCTGTAAGGGAAAAAATGGGCCCAGACTAGATTTCATGGCATTTCATGATCCTTAGGAGAAAATTGGGATCTTATATTGGCTAATGCACCGGGAAGGTGTGTTGATACGAAAGATAAAAAGGTAGGTTTCATCTCTCCTGCCTTGACATGCAAACCATCCCTTTTCAGGGCTCAGACCACCTCGGGATGAAAGCAACCTGCTTTCGCTCTTGCTTTTGGTTTTGTAATCATTTGCAAAGAGATAGGATTGATAGTAAGAAAGCGTGGGTGGGCATGGTCCTGATACCCTGACACATCTTTTCTCTCCCTTTAAACAGCTCTGTGACAAATCTTAAGAGATTTGGGGGCAAACACACCTTGTTGAAATCTCATTCTGTGACCCTGGAGGAGTCACCTAACCTCTACAAAGCCTGCAAAAAAAGATAACACCTGCTTTTTAGGTATGTTGTGAGGATTTCATGAAATGAGCCCAGCACATAAGTGACTGCTGAACGGTCTTCAGATGTAAGGGTGGGTAGGTATTATCAATTGTTGATTACTTTAGAAGAAAAACACACAGTGGGTTTCTTCTTCCAGAGCAAAAATGCTTTTCCAAAACACACATGTATGTGTTATTTACAAAGCTGCAGTAATAGGACACAATTATGATTTCTGTCTTTCCCCCAATTTAATGTTGTATTTAAAGCATTTCGTATGTTTCTAGGACTGTCATTTTTAATGGATACTCTAAGATAATAATTTATAAAACCATTATCCTGATGGACTTTCAGATGGTTTCTATTCCTGCTTTATACAGCTGACGACAACAATCCAAAATTTTTCTGTGAATAGAGTTATTTTACTTGTTGAATTGTTTCTGTTGGAAATGTTTCTATAAATGAGATTATTGGGTCACATGTTATAAATATCTTTAGTGTTATTGGGACATAAAGTGTTGCTATATTGTTTTCCATTGGAATGTACCAATTTCAATGTCAGCAGCAGGAGGCCTGTGTGTGTGTGTGTGTGTGAGTGTGTGTGTGAGAGAGAGAGAGAGAGAGAGAGAGGGAATTCACTCAGCTTTACAACTGCCCAGCACTAGATTGAATATTGTTAACTTAATAGGCATAAAATGGTGTCTTACGTTTTCATCAGTTTGCCCCTCTTTGATTGCTAGTAAGAGTAATCTTTTCCTGTGTGTGTTCCCATTTACTTGTTACATCAGGCCTTTTTCTTTCCTTTGTGTGTTCCCATTTACTTGTTACATCAGGCCTTTTTCTTTCCTTTTATTCAAACAAGCAGTTCCTATTGAATCTGAATGGGGAATACAAAGTGTCTCTTTGTAGAATGAAAAGTTTAAGATTTATATTCAGTTCTGCAAGATTCTGCTGATTCCTATATCCTGTAGTGTAACCTTTCTGTTAATTGCATCCATCCATCAATAGGCCGGTGACTCTTCAAACATTAAAATTAATTCAACTCGACAGACTAACTTTTTATTTCACCTTGGAGGTTTGGCTTCCAGGCAACTGTCAGATATAAAGCCCCAATGATCTTATATTATTTAAGCACGAATAGAAGTGAAAAACCTAATCACAGAGGCAATAGTAATGAAGTTAAAATGGGACCATTGTCCCTAACAAGTAAGGATGACGCCTGAATGTAAAAATAACAATGTTTTTGTCCTGGTAACTTTCAGTATTTATTATCAAAACACACTGTGGATTGAAGCTGTGCTCCAAAGTCAACCTGTGGGGAATTCTGGCATTATTATCCTGCAGGAATCCATTCTAGTCTTCTGTTTATTTTTCTTAGTTTTCCAGACAAAAGAATGGCAGCCCCACCCAATCTTAATTTGAAACACATTTTTCTAGTTGCCACCACCCTGTTTCGGGCCTGTGTTCCTTCTGGCAGCGGCTACGTTCACACGCTGAGCACTATTGCTGAATGTGGCCACAGAGGTAATAGGGCCGAACTGCTTGGCTTTACCGGTGACAGGCGTGCCTGGGAGATTCTCAGTGTCCACTGTGACCCCTGGATGGTCTCCCTGCCTGGCTCTCACCTTCCTGGCCACCCACACTCCCTCCGCTCTCAGATTCATCCTGCTGAAGCACCGGGCAGATCGGATGTCTTTCCTTGCAGATACGTTCAGTGCTTCTGTCCACTGCCTGGAATAAAGCCTTGTCAGGTCCTCGTAGGCGGGGGAAGATGACTCCAACCAGCCTTTCATGAGCGCTGCCCCGATCCCCCCTAAATCTTTCAGCCGGGCAGGTGCCTTATATTTACTTTCCTGCCGCTGTTTTCACTCTACCTGTTCCTCATTCCTGAAAATGTCTCTCCCATCCATGCAGCGTTCTTGCTCCCCTCTGTGATTCCCACACACATTGCCCAGCTCATAACAGCTAGGAAATGATTATTGATTTCCATACACTCTAATGTGACATAAAGGGAGAAGCTTTTTTTTTTTTTTTTTTTTTTGCGGTACACGGGCCTCTCACTGTTGTGGCCTCTCCCGTTGTGGAGCACAGGCTCCGGACGCGCAGGCTCAGCGGCCATGGCTCACGGGCCTAGCCGCTCCACGGCATGTGGGATCTTCCCGGACCGGGGCACGAACCCGTGTCCCCTGCATCGGCAGGCGGACTCTCAACCACTGCGCCACCAGAGAAGCCCAAGGGAGAAGCTTTTAAAATTTTACAACTCATCCGTGAAGGAGAGACCTGTCTGTAGACCCCAGAGTTGGCTTTAGTTTGTCACATTCTCCATTTCCTTTGCTTACGTTTTTCTTGTGACGTAGGAGGCTCTAAGTTGGTCTGTAGACAAGGAAAGCACTTGCCACTTGCAGTCGGGGAGCGGGCTCTGTTGCTTCCTGGATGGAGCTTGAATTCCACTCTGAAGCCCCGGTGTGTGTACTGCACCACACCTAGCACAGAGCCGGGGATGCGGTAAGGGGGCCTGCATCCAATCTATGTTACTGCTTAGGAGCTAAATAAACTTGGGAGGGTTCCTCAACCACCTTAGTTTTCTCATTGGTAAAATGGCAATGATAGCACCTGGCCACCTGTCTCAGAATAATTCCACGACAATTGTGAGAGGGGATGTATGTGAAAATACTTAGGAGTGAACGGTAAGGGGCAACCTGGTGGTAGCAGGAAGCAGTCATCATTCCTAGGATGTGCTGGGGAGCCCATGACAGAGTTGGGATGACAGTATCACCAAGAAATCCTTTAAGTTTTATCAGGAGAATGGAAAAAACCGCCCTTCTCGAGAGGTCAAAGTTTTGAGGTTTCCCCTGCACCTTTTTAAATGGTAGCCGTCAGAGGTGTGTGATGTGAACTGGAGGTCGGTCTTCCTTTGTGGCAAAGGGCTCTGGGTGGACTTTCAGAGGAACAGAGGATAAAGCTGTGGACCCAGAGAAGCCTTTTCTATCATGAGTAAAGGCCCTGGCTGAATTGTCCCTACAACGGTGATATTAATGGTCCCTCAGTTTTGTGTTAGTTATCCCAGGCTTCTAGGTTTTCTAGGCTTCAGTTTGGGAGGAAATAAAAATTATAACCCCATTTGTCCTAGGAACAGTAACTGTATTGTTTCTAGAACAGTATAAAATTTGAATTTAATCTAGATCTTAGGTAGGTTTTTTTTTTTTTACATCTTTATTGGAGTATAATTGCTTTACAATGGTGTGTTAGTTTCTGCTTTATAACAAAGTGAATCAGTTATACATATACATATGTTCCCATATCTCTTCCCTCTTGCGTCTCCCTCCCACCCTCCCTATCGCACCCCTCTAGGTGGTCACAAAGCACCGAGCTGATCTCCCTGTGCTATGCGGCTGCTTTAGGTAGGTTTTATTACTGTTGGTTCATGAGTTTTTTTGGTCTAATTACAACGGTCATCCAGCTTATCAGATTTTACTCTCAAGAGTATTGAGCAACTAACACAACATTGTAAATCAACTATACTCCAATAAAAAAAATTAATTAAAAAAAAAAAGAGTGTTGAGCAGATTCCAAACGGTATGTGGCATGTGTCTGGACTGACTAGGATAATAGAGATTTGTGCTGCCTCTTGGATGGGACTCTTCTTTGGAATTACTTGGAAATAATACCAGCCATATTAGGTGTCTTACCATAGAATTCTTATTATTTGTGATTAATGATATGTGTATTAGTTATTTATTGCTGCACAACAAATTACTCCAAAACGTAGAGCAACACGTATGTTGTCTTACAGTTTCTGTGGATCAGGAATCTGACCACTGCCTAACTGATTCCTCTGCTTCAGGGTCTCTCACGAGCCTGCAGTTAAGGTGTCAGCACAGGCTGGGGTCTCATCTGAAGGCTGGACTGAGAAAGGGTCCACTTCCCGGTTCCTGTGGTTGTTGCCAAAATTCCTTTCCTTTTTTTTTAAATTCAAAAAATGTGCTTATTTGTTCTGGTTTTTTGAGATATAATTGACCTATAACATTGCATTAGTTTAAGGTATACAACGGAATGATTTGATGTATGTATATATTGTGAAATGATTACTACAGCAAGTTTAGTTAATATCCATCATCTCACATGGTTACAGTTTTTTTTGTGTGATGAGAGCTTCCAAGATCTACTCTCTTAGCAACTTTCAACTATACAATACAGTATTGTTAGCTATAGTCACGATGCTGTACGTGTACAAAATTCATTTCCTTAATGGTTGTTGGACTGAGGACCCCAGTTGCTTGCTGGCTATTGGCCAGATGCCCACTCAGTTTCTTTCCATATGAGCCTCTCCGTAGGACAGCTGCTTCATCAAAGCCAGGAAGGGGTGAGGGGACGAGAGCTGGCTGGCAACAAGGAAGTCATAGCCTCTTATAATCTAATCACGCACAAGACACCCCATTCTGTTGGTTAAAAGCAAGGCATTATATATGTATAGCTGATTCACTTTGCTATAAAGCAGAAAGTAGCACACCATTGTAAAGCAATTATACTCCAATAAAGATGTTTAAAAAAAAAAAAAAAAAGCAAGGCATTATGTCCAGTCCATTCTCACGGGGAGGGGATTACACAAGAGCATGAACACCAGGTGGTGGGATCATTGGAGGCATCTTAGATTCTGCCTGCCAGAGTTGTAATTTATTTATTTATCTATTTTTATTTTTTGGCTGTGCTGGGTCTTTGTCACGGCACGCAGGCTTCTCTGTAGTTGTGGCACACGGGCTTCTCTAGTTGTGGTGTGCGGGCTCCAGAGTGCATGGGCTCAGTAGTTGCAGCATGGGGGCTCTCTAGTTGTGGCACAGGGCTCTCTAGTTGTGGCACGCGGGCTCTCTAGTTGTGGCACACGGGCTTCATTGCCCTGCAGCACGTGGGATCTTAGTTCCCCAACCAGGGATTGAACCTGCATCCCCTGTATTGGAAGGCAGGTTCTTACCCACTGGACCACTAGGGAAGTCCCCCAGAGTTGTAATTTATTATATTTAGTATGA